AACAGTAAAAAGTCGTCAGCACGGGGTAGCAGCCAAGGCATGGCCGTAGCTTCACGCCCGCGGCTCCTCGCGCCTTGCCACACGCCGCGCAGGCCCGCACGATAGCCTTCTCACCCATCGCCGCCGACCCCTCCGCTGCGCTGAGCGCCGTCGCGCTTTGAGTGATGCCGCCGGGCTGCGGCAGCGGAGGCCGGGCCGCCCCTTGCTGCCGCCCCGCCTCCTCCTCCGCGCGCTGCGGCGCCGGTGGCGGCTGGGGCGGCGCCGGCGCTGCTGACGGCCGAAAGGCGTCTTGAAGGAAACGCCGCTCGCAATGCACCCGGCGCATTTCGTCTGCCGTCGCTTCCGGCAGGCCGGGAGGCAGGCGCTCCGTCAGATCGAGCAGGAGCAGCGCCATCGCGCGCGCCTCGCCCTGGCTGCTGCGCGGCATGCTGCTGGGGTTTTGGCTCAGCGCGCGGGCGACGTAGACAGCTCCCAGCCACGCTTGTCGACGAAGTTCGTCAGGCACGCCCTAAGCTGCAGCTGGTTCCGGGTCTGAGCGAGTCGCGACGTTGTCAAGGAGAGGAAGGAACGGCAGCAACAAAAGGTCGGCAGTCCGGCCGTAAACGAGCCGCTGCCGCGCCACAGCTGTGCGTTCCTGGGCCGACCGTAAACCATCAAAGCATCTGGACAGAAGCTGCGCGTCCCTCCTGCAGACAGCCTCCCTGGCGCGGCAGAAGGGCGATTCAGACTGGGACCAGCGCACACAGCACGCGACGCACCCGCAACTCGCCGCAGCGCGTCCGCAAGCCGTTGAAACTGCAGCGCCTGGGCCGCCACGTCGCCGCCGGCGTCCCACGAAACCAGCCCCCACAGCAGCAACACGCACGAAGCGCAGGATGACATCTTGTAGGTGGCGGGCGTCGCGAGGGAGACGAGCAGGCGGCACAGGGAGGGGACAATGCCCGGTGCAGCAGCGAGGATGGCGGCGGCGGCCGCCCGCGAATTGCTGGGGTTGCAGAAAAGGGCCGCCAGAGCCTGCGCCGCTTGGGTGCCCGACCAGTCGTGATGGCCACCAGACTCCACAACGTGGCCGAGGGCCCTGATGATGTCTGCCCGCGCGTACGCCTGCCGCTGGCGCGCCGCGCTGCTGTTGATGACGACCGCAAGCACCTCACAGGCGCGAACCTCTGTGCGCGCGTCGCGCAGCGCCGTCAGCGCCATGCCCCACGTTGCCGCTTGGAGGGGACCGCAGTCATTTTCAACAGCGCGTGCTACACTGCGAAGGGGCCCCCCTTCATGCACCCACTCGTCATGTGAAATGGACCCTGCCTCTACCAGGGCTGCGCACACGGCGACGTCCAGGCGACTCCCCATCCACACTTCTGCCCTGGCACCCACGAATTAGCGTGGCTGTGTGTAGACAAGTAAAACAATGAAACGGTTCTTGAAAGGGCTCCGCAGCGACAGAAACCCTCGGACACTCCGAAAACGCAGGCTACGGTACCGTAGACGCGGCTGACGGGTTTGAGGAATGAGTGTTTTATGCAGCAATTTTTGATAGAAGCTTGGATAAGATCACGGAAGCTACCAAGCGCTTCACCGAAGGCATATGATCAATCAGATCACTTTCTTACAGTGGTTTCCTGCTATCACCTCCAGAAGCTCTTTCGATTGCACTTCATGGCAGAGCTCGATCTGCACACTCAACCCTCATGCACTGTCCCCAGCATGAGCAAGCCAGGACACAGCATCGTTGTGAGCAGCCTTTACGATAAGAGGTGATTCCCAATCATCACCCACCCCAGCTCCAATATTGCTGCTGCTTACAAAGCTGTTATCGCAAGCAATTCAATATTGCGTGCTCAGCCCTCAATACGGAGCAGGGTGACGTATCACTGTACAGTGACAAAACATCAAAACGCAGCGAGCACTTCGCTGCCCTGGCTCTATCTGCCCCATAACACTCTGCACTCTGCAGTAACACGACGGCCGCTTCAGCCGCTCCCGGTGCTGCTCGCACCGCCATCACCGCTCCCCTGCAGCACGCCCAGCACCAGTCGCGCCAAGTCAGCCTTCTCCACCGCACCCGCAGCGCTGACGCCGTGTGACGTCAGCAGCGCCCGCAGCTCGCGCACCGGCAGCACCATCAGCCCCTCCAGGGTTTGTGGTGGGGCGCCAGCCCCTGGTGGCCCCTCTGACCCTGGACCCTGCAGCTGTGGCGCAGCTGCGGGAGCGCCCTTGGGCTGCGGTTGCTGCTGCAGCTGCTGCTGGTGCTGCGCCGCCTTGCACTCGGCCCGGTGGCGCGGCCAGTCAGACTGGGGAGGCGATGGAAGAACGTTGGGCGGCCAAGGAGTGGTGCGGCAGTCGAAGGAGTCAAATTATATAGCTCAGTGCAGCAAGCCTCACGCAATTCTGAACGCTGAATCGGGCGCTCTTGCTGCAAGCATAACCCCTAACGTCCAGGCCGGCTGCTTGAGACCCCGCCAGAGGTACCTGGATCCCGCGCCCATGCATCCCCAGGGGCAGAAGGCGCACCTTCTGGCAGTCACGCTGCGGCAATCAGCGAGGCGGCAAAAAGGGGACCATGGCGGAGCGGCCATCGGTATCATTCCTGGTGGTTGCCAGCAATGTAAGCTCTCTGCTACCGACGCGCTTGCCACATTTGCAACTAGCTGCCCCCTCCTGGCCCTTTCGTCACCCTCGCCCCACCGCAACTTCCACCCACCCAATGTGCTGGCATCCCCGTTTGCCTACCCACCCACCCTTCCTCTGCCCCACCCATTCGCCCACACAATCGTGATACACATACATGGAACACGTGCAAAAATGTACCCGCATGTGCACACGTGCGCCCATTCATGCACGCACGCATGTGCAGATGCCCTCCCATACACAGACACTTGTGGATGAACACACAAGCACGCACGCACGCGTGCACTCATGCCCGTGCCCCACCCCCCCGACACACAAATCCACCCCAGAAAATGTGGCTTGTTCAAGAACACTCCGTCAACCGCCGCTCACTGAACAGTAAAAAGTCGTCAGCACGGGGTAGCAGCCAAGGCATGGTCGCAGCTTCACGCCCACAGCTCCTCGCGCCTTGCCGCATGCCGCGCAGGCCCGCACGATAGCCTTCTCCCCCATCGCCGCCGAACCCGCCGCTGCGCCGAGCGCTGTCGCGCCGCGAACAACGCCAGGCTGCGGCGGCGCAGGCGGGGCCGTCCCTCGCTGCCGCCTCGCCTCCTCCTCTGCGCGCTGCGGCGCCGGTGACAGCTGGGGCGGCGGCGGCGCCGCTGACGGCCGAAAGGCGGCTCGAAGGGACAGCCGCTCGCGGAGCAGCCGGCGCATTTCGACTGCGGTCGCCTCCGGCAGGCCAGCAGGGGGCGGGCGCTCCGTCAGATCGAGCAGGAGCAGCGCCATCGCGCGCGCCTCGCCCTGACTGCTGCACGGTATGCTGCCGGGGGTTTGGTCCATCAGCGCGAGGGTGACATTCACAGCTCCCTGCCATGCTTGTTGGCAAAGGCCGTCAGGCGCGCCCTGAGTCGCCGCAGGTTCCGGTTCTGAGCGAGTCGTGATGTCATAGGGGAAAGAGGGGGGGACATCAGCAACAAAAGGCGGGGGTTGGGCGCTGAACAAGCCGCCGCCGAGGCGCAGCCATGCGTTGGGGCCGACCGTGCGTGTACACGCAGCAAAAGCAGCTGATCAGAAGCTGCGCGGGCAACCTGTCTGGTGCGTCAGAAGGGTGGTCTCGCCCGGCCGAGCACACACAAAGCGCGGCGCACACAACACAAACAGCTCGCGACGCACCCGCGACTCGCCGCAGTGCGTCTGCAAGCCCATGATGTTGCAGCGCCTGCGCCGCCACGCTGCCACCGGCGTCCCAAGACGCCAGGGCCCCCAGCAGCGTCACGCACGAGGCGCAGGTCACCACTTTGTAGTTGGCGCGCGTCGCGAGGGAGACGAGCATGCGGCACAAAGAGGGGACGATGCCCGGCACAGCAGCCAGGATGGCGGCGGCGGCCGTCCGCGCATTGCTGGGGTTGCAGAAAAGGGTCGACAGGGCCTGCGCCGCTTGGCGGGCCGATTTTTCGTGGTGGCCGCCGGACTCCACGACGTGTCCGAGGGCCCTGATGATGTCGGCACGCGCGCACGCCTGCTGCTGGCGCGCCGCGCTGGTGTTGAGGACGACCCCGAGCACATCGCACGCGCAGACCTCGGTGCGCGGCTCGCGCAGCGCCCTCAGCGCCGCGTCCCACGTTGCGGCTTGCAGGGGGCCGCTGTCGTGGCAAGCAGCGAGTCCTATACTGCGAAGGGGCCCCCCTTCGCGCACCCACTCCTCATCGGACACACACCCTGCCTCAACCAGGGCTGCGCACACGCCGGCGTCCAGACGCCTCGCCATAGACGCTTCTCTTCTGGCCACCACGGAGCAGCGCTGCTGTGTGTAGAGATTCAAGACAACGAAACGGTACTTGAAATGGCTCCGAGCCAGCAGAACCCTTGGACACTTCGAAAACAGACAGTTTACGCCGAGGACTCACGGCTTAGAGGAAAGATCGGCGTATGAAGGACTTTGACAGCCACTTGGTCGTCCGAGCGAGAGTACGGAACGACTTTGCAACCTGCCGACTGCTTCACCACAGGCACACAAGATCATTCAGATCGCTTTTGTTGGCGATTTTCTACTATGATATTGATGTCTGCAATGCATGGCATATCTCAAACTGCACGCCCACCCCCTGCACTGTTGCAAGCATGAGCAAGTCGGGACCAGGCACCGTTTTGATCAATGGAGCAGCTCCTCCACCCAAGAGGTGATCACCAGCCATCACCCAGCTTTGATCTTCACAATACATGGACTGCTTAATAAGTCAACATTGCAACCAACCAACTTTGACGTTCTAAACACTCAGCAGGGAGCAGGCTAATGTCTTACTGTGCAGTGCCGCAACACTCGACTCCTGCGGGCACTTGGGAGCCCTGGCTCTTCCACACAACACTATGGTGGTAGGGCCGCCGTTTCAGCCGCTCCCGGTGCTGCTCGCGCTGCCGCCACCGCTCCCCTGCAGCACGCCCAACACCAGTCGCGCCAAGTCAGCCTTCTCCACCGCGCCCGCGGCGCTGACGCTGTGTGACGTCAGAAGCGCCCGCAGCTCACGCACTGGCAGCACCATAAGCCCCTCCAGGGTTTGTGGTGGGGCGTCAGCCCCTGGTGGGGTGGGGGCGTCAGCCCCCTCTGACCCTGGACCCTGCAGCTGCGGCGCAGCTGCGGGAGCGCCCTCGGGCTGGGGCTGCTGCTGCAGCCGCTGCTGCGCCGCCTTGCACTCGGCCCGGTGGCGCGGCCAATCCGACTGTTGGGTGTGGAGCACACAGGGGGATGTAGCAAGGGATGCTTGCGGCTTGTGGAAACAACAAATGATACAGCACTTATTGCAAAGTAATATGAGAGTTCCCCTTTGCCGTAATGCGCCCCCAGGCCGACACGCCGCTTGCGCGATGCACGTCGCCGGAGCATTCCCACCTTCTGGCAGCTTGTCTTGTGGCAGTTGTGCGTGGTTGGTGAGGGCAGCAGGGTGGGGCGTCAAGTCACACAGATGGTCTCAGCGCAGCTGGCTTGACTTTGAAGGGTTGACCAGGCACCACATGGCTGTGTCCAAGCCTGGACATTGCATCGAGGTTCAATCGGCGGTCTCACACAGATGCACGCAAGCCGGCTCACCGAGCAGTAGTAGACCTTGAGAGCTGCATAGCACCCGCTACACGGCCGCAGCTTCACACCCGGCGGCCAGCGATGCTTGCCGCACGCCGCGCATGTCGCTGCGGGCTTTGCCGGCGCCGCGGCTGGCAAGCCGCGTTCCCTCTGCGAGTCAACGTCTTGCTGCTGCTGCTGCTGCTGCTGCTGCTGCTGCTGCTGCTGCTGCTGCTGCTGTGGCCGCTGCTTTGTCTCAGGCTGCTGCTGCTGCTTTCTCTCTCGCTGCTGCTGCTGCTGCTGCTGCTGCTGCTGCTGCTGCTGCTGCTGCTGCTGCTGCTGCTGCTGCTGCTGCTGCTGCTGCTGCTGCTGCTGCTGCTGCTGACACTGCTCCCGCGAAGGCCCAGGCGGGGCCGTCCCAGCAGCCGCTCCCTGCTGGCCCCGTTGGCTACCCGTCCGCTGGGCCTGCTCCCGCATGCCGGGCAGAGGCCGGCACGCCAAGAGCCGCGCCTGCAGCTGCTTGAGCGCGGGCACTTCCGCACACCTCAAGTTGGGGGTGCTGGCGGCTTTCTCACACAGGGCGGACGCCAGTTGATAAGCGAGCTTGTGCGACGCGGCCAACACGTCTTCGTGCGCGTCTTGCAGCGCCTCTCCCTCTGGGTCTGCGCTCGGTCGTGAGGGTTCACATAGGGAACCGAGCCAGGTGGCACGCGCGCAGGTGGAGGGTCGATTGGGTTTGGGGACGAGGAGTGCGTGCGCGCGACGCAGCGGGGCGCTGCGCTTGCGTGAATGAATGCCCAGGGACGGGCCTCTCCCTAGCAGCCAAAACAGCCGGTACGGAAGCCACAGCACTCGCACACGCGTAAACGTGCGCATCGGGCGCGCCGGTTGCCCCTTCGAGCGCGCACGCACCTCCGATCCGCCGCAGCGCCGCCGCCAGCCCGGGCTGCTGCAGCGCCTGCGCCGCCGCGCCGCCGCTGGCGTCGCCGTCCACCAGCGCCCACAGCGACGCGACGCACCCGAAGCAGTCCATCAGCCGGTCGCGCCCCCGCAGCACCAGCTGGGGCAGCAGCTGGCAGAGCGCCGCCGGGATGGTCGGCGCCGCGGCGAGGACGGGGGCGGCGCCCTCGGCCGGGCAGTCTGTCCTCAAAATTGGAAGCAGGCAGCGACCCGCCTCCTCGACCAGCGACTGGCCGGCGGCTGCGAGGTCTGATAAAAAGGGGCGCGCGACGGCCCTGATAACCTCGGGCCGCGCGTGGGCCTGCCGCCGGCACGCGGGGTTGTCGGTGAGCGTGAGCCCCAACACCTGGAAGGCGCGCTCTGCCGTGAGCGGGCTGTGCAGCGCGGCGAGGATCGCCTCCCAGGTCGCGTCCTCCAGAGGGCCGCCGCCGTGCTGACGCAGCGCGAGCAGCTTGTCAAGGGGACCCGTGTGACCGTTGTGCCATGCCTGTTCGTCAAGGTGCGGGGCGGCCGCCAGGGCACTGCACACGACCGCATCCAGCGGCGCCATGCTGGCACTGTTGCGTGCAGCAATCCTACACAATCGCTGCCCCTGATACGCACTGCAACCAGATGGTACTAGATGAAAGCCATTCAATTACCATCACGCAGTGACACGTCGCTCTGATGTGTCTCGGTATATGTAAACTGTACGATGTTGTAAAATTTAGAGATCGTGAAGGGTTTAAAATTCTGGTATGCGATCAGTGTTGCACAGGTATGGTGGAACTGCCAGAGGACACACGCAGGTCTACAACGCAAGTGGACATATGAAGCGGCGCCGCCAGCAACCGGTAGAGCTTGTTGCTGCTTCGGGCCGGCCCTGGCTGACGGGTGGTGCATGCATGCCAGGGGCCACCCAACACCCACCTAGACGACCTCCCAGGCACACACATGGGTAAGCACCCGAGAAGTGAAAGCAGCCACCAAGCATGAAATATGAAGGCCAGTTGAGGTTGTGGAGCACTTCGCCTTGGGTGGCTTGTGCTCTGCTGGTGTGTCGCTCAAAGACTTTCCTCCCAGTGGGATGGGGGGTCCAATCTGTTCAGTCGAGCTTGATTTTTCTATGAGCAAAGATACGGGGGCAGTCATGCAACAGCCGTTTAAGCATGGTGGATGGCATCTAAGAGGGGCAGCCGGCGATCCCTCAAGACACGCTCGTAGGGACGTGGCTGTGTCCATGCAGTTGGGCAGCAGCCGCGTGGTGCCGGTGGCTCGTTTAGTGACTAAGTCGGCTGCCCATGACAGTCGCCTGCACACCAACCGCACCTTCGCCCTTGTGCTGGTCGTCACAGATATCGAGTCGTTCCCTTGAAGGGATTTAAGGCTGCGACCACCAGTCCCCACAGCCACCTGCCGGGCAGCTACCCCACCTCCGGTGGTAGTAGATCCCTGCAGGCTCCCACTTATATGGCCCCAGGGCTTCGCCCAGGGTCCTCCAGGCTCCAGCCGTTGCACAGCACACCAGCAGAGAAAATTCATGGACGCCAAAGTTGCGGCGTTTGGCGACGTCGCAAACACTACCGCTGACGTTTGCGATGGCGACTTACAAATGTGAGGTCGCAAACCACTGTACTGACATCCACATGCTGTCTGGGCATCTCGATACGCCCACTGCTTCTCTTTGCTTACCAGCCATCCAAGTACTGGCGGCTGCTGAGTCACAACACCCGCGCTTTTCCGTGGCATTGCAGGCTGTGAGACAGCAGCCTACCCAGCAAGCATGGTTGGCTACTGGGGCGGGACCGCCTTGCGGGCGTGGCTGGCACGTCTTGACAACAATTCGGCTCCTACATGGCCGCAAATTCCAAGAAGACAGGCAGTCGGCAGAGACGCGGTCGCTTAGTGCTGGCATGGGGCTTGCATAGCTTCCAACCGTACCGACCCACAACAAGCCAGCGCCCCCCCCCCCCAAAAGAGACCTGACTCTGCAGCATCTGTCATGCAATCGCAATGCTGCCACACGCTCCGTGCTCCCTCGAGCTGTGACGTGCAGGCGCCCACCCGCTCCGCCGCCCCGCTGCCCCACTGCCCCGCCCCACCGCCGCACCGCCGCTGCGGCCGCCGCCTGCTGCGCGCCTGCAACCCCTCCCCTCATCGCTCCCCGCCCTTGAGCCCGCGCCGCCGCTCCACATCCCAGTTGAAAACGCGCGCCGTGTTGACCTCTGTGACGGTGATGCTGTCCTTGAGCAGTCCGAGGTTGTCGACGGCCGTTCCGAGGTTGGCCTCGCAGGCAGCCTTGTTGGCTTCAAGCAGGGCCTGGGCCTCCTCAAGGGGATACTCACACATCACCCCCGCCCCCAGCCACAGCCCCACACTCTCCACGTCCTGTTGCCAGTTCATGTCGCGTTGCGGGGGCCGTTGCGGGAATTCAGCTGTTTTACGGACGCACTTCAAGACCACACACGTGCGGCCGGGGGTCCAGCGGCGTGCGGATCCCACGAAGCACATACAGTTCCGCGGCGTTGGGAATTTGGAGGGCGAGAAGCCCAAACCAGCGGCCTCTCGGACCGCAGCAACCAAGCCTAGTGGCGCACGGCTGCGGTGCCCACGTGCTGGCCGCGCTCAACAACTAGGGTGGAGCGTCCGGCCGGGCGCTCGCGTCTGACGCGGCCGACCTGGAGGTGGGCCTTGGCGTAGATGCCGTCCGTGAGCTCAAAGTCAGCCGAGATGACGTCACCTGAGGTGACACCAATCGCCAAGTGGAGGCGAGGGACATAAGAGAGATGCGAGAGCGCGCCTCCAGGACAGGCCGCCTCTATCTTCTATTGTGCCTGAGCTGGTAGGCTCCTGGCCTTATAGATTGCGATCGCGCACACTGCTGCGGGCCCTGACAAGGCAAGCCGCCGGACGGGCGCCTTGCGTTTGCATCGCCCTGTCGTGCGGCGCGCGGCGCACGACCGCAGCTGGCTCTGTTGCTGGCAACAGGGCAGCAGGGCGCTGCGCTGCTCGTGGCCCGCTCACCCGAGTCCTTCTTTGCCAGCAGCGCGCCGACGGCCTCCAGGGACTTTTTGATCTCGGGCAGCTTCTCAAGCAACCGCTTGCGGTTCTGGAGGACCTGCGGTGGAGTGTTGCGAGCATTGTTGTAATGGTGCTTTGACGTTTTGATCGATTGGACTGCTCGGGCTGCTGGAATCTGTGGATAAGAGAAGAGTGATCCCAAGTTTGGGATACGGATGGAGGCTGTCACATACAGCTGCAGCTTAGGAAGGAGCGGCGGGGTTTGCGCACGCGGCGCAGCGCCTGCACCACACCAGGCAGCGGCCGGGGCGGCGATGGCAGCGAGCAAAGCACGCTTGATTTCTAAGCAAGGGTCGATGGCGTTCAGGCGTGTGGGATCAAACAAGGCCGCCTGGATTGCTCGCCTGGGCCTCGTAGCCGCGCAGCCGCCGCAGCCTCTCCTGCAGCTCTACGAGGACGTTCTCCACCTGCTTGCCCTGCATGTACGCATCCACGTCCTCTATGAACACCGACTTGGCGATCTCCGCGGCGCGCCCTGAGCTACTCTCGCCGGTCATGGCGCCTGCCGCTGCTGCTGCCTGCTGCTGGGGCGGCTGCGGCGAGCGTGCTGGTGTGCTGCTGGTGGTGATGCGCCACAGGCGCAAGCGAAGACTTGCGGCAGCTGCGGCACCGACAGCTGCAGGTCTGCGGGAGTTCAAAATATTTTACTGCTGTGTTTGAATGCAATGATCACAGGAAAAGGCGGGTGCACGCGGACAAGTAGCCCGCGCGGTGATCTCGTTGATCTGGCGTGTAGTTTGGGGGCTCGCAGGAGCGATGCAAGTTTGATGATAACAAAGGTCAGTGCACGAACACTGCAGTATGCACTCACGGAGCTTCGTCACTGGACTGCGGCATGAGGGTCACAGCAGCTATCGTACCGGTGGTGCTTTACATCTCGCCCTTTCACCGTGAACAGGCATTGGCGTTTCATAACCAGGCCTGAAGCCTGGCATCATATCATATGATACGGATTATCAGGCTGCTGGTAGGCAGGGAGCTGCAAGCGCTGTTGGGTTCTGGCACGTGCACAGGAGCTTCGATATGTACGACGACACCCCTGCTAGAAGCAGACGTGCGCGCCACCCTGGCCTGTGCAACTCTTTCAATCACGGGTTTCAGAGCGGCACGAGTCTGGCGGCCGGCCTGTTGCGAGAGTGCAGCATGCAACAGGGACGAAACCCCCTTGCACGAAGCCCCCGTCAGCACAGCGCTCTGGGACCACCCGAGTCCAAACCGTGCCTCGACCACACCCCTGCTGGCCGCCCGTCGTACGTCAGCCTTTCGTGCGCCCGGCATTGTCTGGGCCCTGGCCCATGTTGTGGACCAGCTGCCCCAACACCGGCTGTGCGCGCATTTTCATGTCTGCATCACGATCAACATCCCAGCTCAGGTTTCGGCCGTCCTTGTGGCACCGACAGCCCCGCCCCACTTTGCTGACTGCAGGCGGCGCTGGCACAGGGGCCTGGCTGTTGGCGAATTGTGCTCGGGGGGTTTTGGAGGCGCTGGTTCGGTAGGACCCTCCTGCAACGATAGGATGACGTGCTGCAACACCGTTTTCAGCAGGACTCGCCGCTACAAACATTCCGCAAACTCCGGAGGAACGGATGATGCTGCCGTCGGGCACTTCAGAGGGGCAAAGCGTGCTGACACCATGAGGCATGACAGGGCTGCACCTTGTGATCTTGAGTACCCCAGTGTGTCCTTTGGTGTGCGGCTTTCAATTGCTCTGGGGTTGGCATCTGTCTGGTGGCAGTTAAATTTCTACCAACAGCAGTGACTGCGCGGGCGTGCGCGTACAGCATGCAGCGCCTCTGCAGGGCACAGCGCAACAACATACGACCTGCCCCGCGGAAGCAGGGGGCGCGTCCGCGTCGTAAGCCGCAGTGCGTAGCAGGATGCAGCAGCCTCGGAACAACGCAAATGGACGGGGCCCATGTGATTGATGCGTGGGCGACTAGCAAATCCGTCACATGCCGCATGAATTCGCGGGTCCACCTGTCATGCGCACACGCGCTCGGATTTGATCTCTGTCAAAGAGCTCTCTGGCTGCCCCTCCTTGGACGCCCCTGGTGCCCCGAAAGAAACTCACTCGCTGCGTCTGGTTTTGGTTCTGATAGGCTCCGCAAAATTGAGGTGAGGTGGTGGGCCGGCGCTATTGCCGGGTTCCACGGATTGTCGAAATCCGACTGCAACTGCAAGTGACCAACCGTGACCAACCGCCAATAACCCCCTGTAACCGCCTACTTCTCGTCCAGGGCGGCCACGCCGGGCAGCACGCGGCCCTCCAGCAGCTCAAGGGAGGCGCCACCTGGCGTTCGCACGCGTCGGTTGGAGAATCGGTTGGGTTGGGTTGGGTCGGTTGGGGTCAGGGTCGAGGAGTGGGGGTGACGGATTTGTCGATGCGAGCCACGGGGGCCCTGTCTGCTGCGCAACAGGCTGTTGTTTCAGGGCAGGGGCTGTCCTCCCAGGGCACAACTGACCGGCAGCCGGCCGGCTGTGAGGAGTGAGCCCCAATCTTTTGCGACCAGCGGCATACCGCAAAATGCCAACACAAGGGAGAGCTCACCGCCGGTGGAGATGTGGCTCATCTTGGAGGCAACGCCGGCCTTCTCCACGGCCGCCACGCTGTCTCCGCCGCCGATGATGGTGATGGCGCCCTTGGGGGTGATCTCGGCCAGCGTGTCGGCGATGGCCTGCGCGGGGCGGTCGCGCGGCGGAGTTCAACTCATTTGCTTGGCTGCCCTGGCAGCGCCTGGCTGTCTGTCGTGCGCGGAATCTTTTCCCCGCCAACACTCTCAGCATGCTTGAAATGCGCGGCCGCCTGGCCTCCACAATAAGCATACGGGGTCGTCGGACAAAACACACAGCGGGCGACACCCACGATGGTACCCTTGGCGAAGGCGTCGAACTCGAACACGCCCATGGGGCCGTTCCAGACGACGGTCTTGGTGTCGGCCAGGGCGTCCTGGAACAGCTTGATGCTGTCCGGGCCGATGTCCAGGCCCTGGCGGGTGTGATTTGGGTGCAAACAGGGGCATGACGACGATCAAGAGGTTGCGGGTTCGACTCCTCCGAGTTGCTCCGGTATGATTTGCTCTTGGGTTTGGTTCGCCGTGATGCGAGCTAGGATGACAAGCCAGCCGCCCAGCCGCCCAGCCGCGCCAGCAGGCGAGCGTAATGCCCCGCGGCGAGCGGCAGCGGCAGCGAGCGCGGCGACACGGGGCTGATAAAAAGGACGCAAACCCACCATCCAGCCGTCGGGGATGGCGTCGGCGGCGACGATCTGGGTGTTGGCGTCGGGGGCGAACTTGTCGGCGATCACCACATCAGTGGGCAGCAGCAGCTCGACGCCCTGGTGCCGCGGGGGTATGATTGCGCGGGTGGTTAAGGATGAGTGATGATGAGAGACATGAGTTCGCCATTTGCAAGCATGTCCAGATCATCGTGGCCTGGGGTGGAATCGCAGGAATCCTTCCAGGCATCTTCCCTCCAGCGCGACGGTTGCCCGCCGCCCCGACAGAGCTCTGGTCAGGCTTGGTCAAACTTTGGTCATACGTCGGTCAAGTTTGGTCAAACGCGCACCTTCTCCTTGGCAAGGGCCTCCAGCTTGGTGGCCAGGTCGAGCCTGCAGGGGGCGGCGCAAGTGGTGGGGTCAGGCCGAAGCGACCATATGCATGAGCGCGTGTGCGTTGAGTGCACAAACGCTGCACTGCAAGGGTGCACGCGTGAGCACGCGTGCCTTTTTGTGTGCAAACATGCATGCATCGCATGCATGCATCGCATGCATGCATGCATGCATGCATGCACATGTTTGTGAGCATATGAGTGCGCATACGAGTGTGAGGTCGCCCGCGGGAACAGTTGGCGGCAGCCTTGAGCCCTACAGATGCGCCGTATCACACGCATCAGATCACACATGTAAGATCGCGTGCGGCAGATCACGCATGCCATATCACCCACAATCAGCCACAGCGCCACTCACTGCTCCTCCTCCACCAGAGAGCTGCCGACGCTGTAGCCGCGGGCCTTGTAGAAGGTGAACACCATGCCGCCACTGTCAGCGTGTTTTGGGGGTGGGGTGAGCCGCCGGGTTGTCATGACAGCGTTCAGGGGTGAAGGCGAGCCCAGGTCGCGCCTTGTTGTCGGTTCGATGGTTCAACCCAAGGCCTGCCCATTCAAGCCTGCACAGCACCGCGCTTTACTCAATACGGTGACCCCCATGCTCAAGCCCCCTTCAGATGGCTGCCGTCGGGGTGTTGCGCTCGCGCGGCCACGCCCGCTCTGCGCTACGCGTGTGGACCCTGCTAGAACAGCACCACAGCTTGGGCAAAGCCGAGTCAATGCGACAGCACGCAGTCAGGTTTGGAGC